TCCGTTATTAATTCCGACGCACGCACGCGCAGCGTTCCTCACCACGCGTGTAATGAGAATTGAACAAAGGCTGTTTGCGCGCGGTGGGAGCGGTGGCGCTACAAACCCGACAGAGATGCGAGTTCCATTCCCGCTCACGGCCATCAACACCCAGTGACGATTATCTGTACCGGTCCTGCTCCTCCCCTCGGTCGACTCGGCCTCAAATGAGTACCTGGTGCGGTGTCAGCATCAGGGAGACAAAGGCGGCCGGGCGTGGTGCTGTCGAACCTTCTTCCCAACCGACAATGGCACACAAAGACAAAGATCCCCCGTGTAGCCTTAAAATAATGTTGGGGCAAGCACTGTTAGCAAGCACCTATGAAGGCCGGCACGGCACACGAGAGGGTGGGTGGTCAGCACCACGCCCGGTCGCCTTTGCCTCCCTAGTGGCGATGTTTACGCACCGCACCAGGAACTCATTTGAGGCCGAGTCGACCGAGGGGAGGCCCAGAACCGGTTAAGATCGTTACTGGTATTGGCCGTGAGCGGGAATCGAACCCGGATCGCCAGGGTCGTAGCGTAGTGCGCTAACCGCTACACTACCACACAACAACAACCGCCATTCGCCACTAAGTGGTGGTGACGTCACCTCGACGCTTGTGCCAGGCCATGTGCACCTTGAAGCCACGTGAAGTGTCGAACGCCCGCTGGCAGGTCAAGGGGCAAACCCAGGTGCCACGGATCGACTGACTGAGATGACTGGCTGATGCACCACCTGTGTCCCCTACTGTGCCAACTTGTTGTGCTTTAGCCACCCGGCGCTCCGCTCGTTGTTGTGAGCGTCGCTCCTCCGCCCTCTGTTGTTGTTGGAGGGCGACTGCCTGCAACTGCCCAGTAGCGTCCTTCACGAGCCTCCTCCACAGAGGCCGATCTTGACACCGCTGGTACCGGTCATCGGCAAGTCCACTCAGCTCCACATCCTCCTGTACCACATCACTCCATCTCTTCTCTAGCCGATGCCGCGCCCGTCTAGCCCCCTCGATCCGGCCGAACAAAAGCTGTTTGGGCATGCGGTGGCTGGACATGCGGGCTACATGACCCAGCCAACGCAGCCTTGCCCGCCGGAGGTGCTCAGCGATGGGACTTTGTCCAGATCTTTCGAGGATTTGTGAGCTCCTCACACAATCCAGCCTGGTTAAACCCAGGATGGTTCGTAGGCAGGCCAGCTTAAATGTTTCTAACACTGACACACACACTGACACACAGACAACCTCTCACGCACACACAATTTCATCCCCCCCGCCCCCCTCCCTCGCGCTGTCTCGCGCCGTCACGAGGAGGAGGAGGAGAAGGAGGTGATGGGGCTGTAATTATTTTCTTTCCTTCTGAGTCGCTGCACGCGTAAAATGACCGCGCTGTCTCGGAACACCTGCGGTGTGAGCACATAATGGCCACCCGCCTCCATCACCACCCCCATCACCATTCACCATCACCACCCCCATCACCATTCACCATCACCACCCCCATCACCATTCACCATCACCACCCCCATCACACTCCCCATCATCATCCCCATAACCCTCCACTATCACCCATCACCCTCCCTATCAACATCCCCCATCACTCTCCCCCATCACCATATTCTATAACCATCACTCATTCTCTCCCATTACCTATCTCCCATATACCATGAATATCGCAATCATCATCATCATCTACTGGACATCTGTGAAACTATTGGACATCTGTGAAAAGAGCTTAATAGCACATCGGATTCCTCCGGTATAAATTAATATTCTGATTCTGATCACCATCACCACAATCAGCGGCAGCAGCAGAAGCAGCAGCGGCTCGCAGGTTGGGCTGCCTGGTGAACAGGAGATGGCCGCACAGAAATCGTTTCGTGTTCCCATCTGTGCGGCCACTGATCTCTCCCGAATGGAATTGGCCAAATATTAAGCAAAATTATGAAACATTTTTAAATATATTTTACCAGTTAAGTGCCCACTGAGCTATGTAGCTCTTTTTCAGAAGCAACCTGGCCACAAATAATTGCTCAACGAAGTGGCTCATCGTCACGTGGACATTTATAGCAGCAGCCCAAAACTCTAAACGCGTGTTTATGAATGTGGAGGGAAACACCGGAGGACCTGGAGAGAAATCCACGCGACCACGGGGAGAGACACGCAAAACTCTGTACAGCAGGCGTCAGGGTCGGGATTGAACCCACGACCTTCTGTATACCAGGCGAGGTAGTTAACATCTCACCACGGGGAGAGAGAGATGCAAACTCCAAATATACAGCAGCAGGCAGTCAGGGCGACCGTCGAAATACCAGGCGAGGTAGTTAACATAGCTCGGTGAGGCTATCCTGGGTAAATAAACAAACACCACCACTACCATCATGGTGCATTCATTTCCACATTGGCGCTAAAGTCGTTTGGAGGAGATGACAGCGGGGGGGGGGGGGGGGGGCGGCTGTGGTGCGAGGGGGGGCTCAGTGATGTGTGTGGGGGGGGGGGGGCACGGGGGGTGAGGGGTGGAGGGAGGGCGGACGATAATTCTATACAGTCTCTCAGCAATTTAACGCGCCGTAGTAATTGCCCGTAATGATTGCCGTCTCTTTGTGTGAAGGGGGACGTGGTGGGGGGCAGGAGGGCGGCATGGGGGGGGGGGGCGGCAGGGGGGGCGGGGTGTTAGCCACGGACCGTTGCAGAAGCGCCCAGGCGTGGACTGGACGACTGCGACTCTCTCCTGCAGAGCCTCACGACCCCTCGTCTATGAGTCTCTGTGTGAGTCTACGGGTCTCTGTGTGAGTCTGTGTCTCTGTGTGAGTCTGTGTCTCTGTGTGAGTCTGTGTCTCTGTGTGAGTCTATGTGTCTCTGTATGAGTCTACGGGTCTCTGTGTGAGTCTATGTGTCTCCGTGTGAGTCTGTGTCTCTGTGTGAGTCTGTGTCTCTGTGTGAGTCTACGGGTCTCTGTGTGAGTCTATGTGTCTCTGTGTGAGTCTATGGGTCTCTGTGTGAGTCTATGTGTCTCTGTGTGAGTCTATGCGTCTCTGTGTGAGTCTATGGGTCTCTGTGTGAGTCTGTGTCTCTGTGTGAGTCTATGCGTCTCTGTGTGAGTCTATGGGTCTCTGTGTGAGTCTGTCTCTGTGTGAGTCTATGGGTCTCTGTGTGAGTCTGTGTCTCTGTGTGAGTCTACGGGTCTCCGTGTGAGTCTATGGGTCTCTGTGTGAGTCTGTGTCTCTGTGTGAGTCTATGGGTCTCTGTGTGAGTCTACGGGTCTCTGTGTAAGTCTATGGGCCTCTGTGTGAGTCTATGGGTCCCTGTGAGTCTATGGGTCTCTGTGTGAGTCTATGGGTCTGCGTGTGAGTCTATGGGTCTCTGTGTGAGTCTATGGGTCTCTGTGTGAGTCTATGGGTCTCCGTGTGAGTCTATGGGTCTCCGTGTGAGTCTATGGGTCTCTGTGTGAGTCTATGTGTCTCTGTGTGAATCTATGGGTCTCTGTCTGAGTCTATGGGCCTCCGTGAGTCTATGGGTCTCCGTGTGAGTCTATGGGTCTCTGTGTGAGTCTATGGGTCTCTGTGTGAGTCTGTCTCTGTGTGAGTCTACGGGTCTCCGTGTGAGTCTATGGGTCTCTGTGTGAGTCTATGTGTCTCTGTGTGAGTCTACGGGTCTCTGTGTGAGTCTACGGGTCTCTGTGTGAGTCTATGGGTCTCTGTGTGAGTATATGTCTCTGTGTGAATCTATGGGTCTCTGTATGAGTCTACGGGTCTCTGTGTGAGTCTATGGGCCTCTGTGTGAGTCTGTGTCTCTGTGTGAATCCGCTGCGGTGGTCGTGCTGAGCGAGAATCGACATGGATGTTGCGCTGCATTGCGCATGGGATGTTGATGCCACTTCTCTGCGTCCCCCGTGGAGCCGCAGAGCCACAGCGCCACTCCGAGTCGCCACGCCGCATCTCACGGGAACCGGGGGAGACGCGCGGCTCGCGGGCTCGAGAGGGGGGCGCGCCTCGCCCCTCCAGTCACACGCGTGGCTTGGATAGGGTACAGACACCCAGAGACACACACAGCGACTCCATCACAGACCGATAGACAGAGAGACAGACGGACTCACATAGAGACTAATATTAACAGGCCCATAGACAGAGACTCACATAGACTGATACAAATAGATCCATAGACACAGAGACCCACATACTCACATAGAGATTGATACAAATAGACCCAGACAGAGACCCATGGGCTCACATAGACCTCGAGACGCACAACTCTCATAGAGACCCATCGACGCACACAGAAACTCGGACTCACAGAGAGCCGTATTCTCTAACACGTGTGTGTATATATATGCGTGCAAGTGTGTGTTTGGGTGGGGTATTGATTCTATTTATAGGGAGCTTCCCTCCGTTGCCAACAACGTTTAGAGATGTTGAATTAAACATGACTTGGTTCGATATTTTTGATCACCTTGCCTCATTATAACTCAAAAGTGCAAATGTGTCGGTTACGCTTGCCAAGGCATTTCATGTTTGTACCACACAACAAAGACCCCCCCCCCCCCCCCCCGTGTAGCCTGCACAACGCTTTGGGGCAAGTGCTGTTAGCGAGCACCTCTGAAGGCCGACACGGTATACCCAGCGGGGGGTGGCCAGCACCAGTCTAAGGGTTCTGATGCCGCCTCTGTCTCCCAAGTGGCGATGTTTACACACCGCATCATGTATTCATTTGAAGCCGAGTCGACCTTAGGCGGAGGCCCAGGTACCGGTTCACTGTTGTTGGCCGTGAGCGGGAATCGAACTCGGGTCGCCGGGTTCGTAGCGCAACGCGCTAACCGCTACCGCTCCCCCCTTCCTATCACCACCACCACGCACACCAGCCTTGAGCTCTCCAGTGAAGCTGCCCGCACCGTGGGAGCGACACGTCGGAGGTCGTGACAAACAACACGTTTGGTGCGGCGGCACGACGGCGAAAACACATGGGGGGGGGGGGGGGGAGAAGAAGCAGCTGAGCTGATTATTGCTTAAAGTTTATTTGGGAAGGAAAAAAAACCGAGTGTTTTTTGTGTGAGGTTTAAAACAGGCACTCTCCCGTCTCTGGGATACTCGCGACAGCGAAGGCGTGCAGACATCGCAGAAAGCAGCAGCAGAAGCGATGAGTTCCATGCTTGGGTAGAGGGAGACTTAACGATGTTACAACGCAACCGCAGATTGAACTCAGGTCATTCACAGTCGAGGGGCGGGTCACGTCGCAAGTCTCAGAGCTAGGTTGGGGGTGTACACCCCCCCCCCCCCCCCATACCACCCGTTCTCCTCTCGCAGCCTGTGGATGGACTGAGCTCCGGCATGTCAATGTGGAACATCCCATCACTGTATGGGACCTTTTTGCCAGTATCAAAGTATGAAGAATAAGAATAGGTTTTACCCTTTCTGGCAAGGGTAAAACCTATCCTGATTTTTGCACAATCCCACCGCTGGCTCGCACAGAAGATCCATCGGCTCAACTCCATCGCTTGTTTGAACAGGGAAGATACTTCTGGAGCCAGATTCGCATTTTTATTTCAACTCAAGGGGTTTAACCCCCTGGCTCCACCACGGGGACAGGGGGAGCAAGAGTCGTGGATGCAATGAATGGAAAAAGTGAATGGATCGCGCGAGAGGGGGAGGAGGAAGGCCGGGACGGAAGTCCCCACCAAGACGGACAAAGAGCAGGGCACTGCTTCAGATGAGCGGCAGGGAGAGGAGGGGCAGATGAGAGGGTGATGATGATGGTGAGGAGGAGAAAAGCGAGGGAGACGAGAGAGAAAAGAAGCGGACACGCGGCGTCTGTTTCCAAAGAGGGCGGGGAGAGGGACCCAGAGTGGTGGTGGTGGGGGGCACACGTAAGTCACGTGATATACGGGAGGCTTGAGCCGATTTAGAAATACAAATAAACATTGCATCTCATTGTCTCTAGCCCGGTGGTGCCGGACACGAGGTCCGCAATGCCACGCGAGGTGGTCCCCAGAAACTGGTTGCAGGCACGAGTCAGTTTAACAAACCACCGGATGCTTGCCGCGCATTGCACAACTGTCGTGATTGTATCCACGACTTAAATATCCGCCAACTGCTGGCATTGGTTGTTCACGTGACGTACAACGTGCGCGCGCGCGGGTTTAATTTTCGAAAAATACACGTGACTGGTGCATGGTGGTCTGCGAAAATTGTTGAAGGGCCGACGGCGATACGCCGGTCCAGGAATTGTTGGGAACCACCGGCCGACACGATCATAATTTCTCCATCGTGGTTAAGCGTCGCCGTCTTCAGAGGATTTTGAGAGAATAGGATGGGCAGGACCAAGGATGACAAGTTATGATTTATGGGACATTATGAATATTGCAAAACGTCAATGCTGGACTTAGTTCGAGGAAGGTGGCATCTACAAGTAGAAAGCTCACATGGGGCCCTACAGCCACGCCTCATCATCCTTGGAGAGGGGGGGGGGGGTAAAGGCAAGAGGAAGACAAAGATAGACATGATGGTGGTAGGAGAAGAGCTTGTCCCGAGAGGGAGCTCTGGGGACGTACGCCGTCTGGAGAGCCGACAGCGACGTTCATGGAAATGTCATCAAACATTTCGCCAAAACTAGGGACGGAAAGGAACCATTTGCCAACACCACCACCACACGTGACTCACATGGCTCCGAGACTTTTAGTCAGAGGTAAGAGGGCACTTAACCGGTCGTACACAAGGCGCACACCAAAGTTATTAGGCTCTTAAGTAGATTATGTTTTTTGATAATAACCATGCGGTCAAGCATAGATATCATCATCAAGTATACAGCGTAAAGCTTGCATATGCATAGCACACGGTGAATTCACAAAAACGCTAGCTACACAAGTGTCAGATCATTGCAAATAAACCACAAAAATCTTATGTTGATAAAGCTCTGCATATTTTTTTGGCGATTAATTATCATCAACAAATGCCCATATGACGTTACCGGCCGAGAAGCCTGCCACTGTTGCCATCTCCCGAACAGACACCATGGGTGGAGCGGCGGTGCCGTTGGTGGTGAACGCAACCGCGATACCGACCCAGCGACCCGAGTTCCGAGTCCCGGCCACGGCCAACATCGGTGGCACGGAGTGAAATCCGAACCAGGTCTGCTCCACACCCCCCCCCCCCCCTTGTCCACCCAAGATTCGATTTGGGGGCAAGTTAAGTTTTTTTCCACGTCAGACATTGTCGAGCGGCCAACTCTGGCTTGACGAGACGATAACCGCCCCACCAAATAATGTTCTGCACGAGTGAATTGTGCTAAAATAAAATCAACGGCGACCTTGTTCACCAATTTGATTTCGTTTGTGCGACGCCAGCTCAAAAGTGGACTCTCGATTATCTGGGATAATTTGGAGTGGTGACACAAACATAAAAAAGACCACGGATAATTCAACACATTTGTAAATTAGGCCACGGAACAAAGTGATTGTTTATCGGCGTAGAATGGGGGCGAAGAGTGGATCGTACCTGCGTCCGTTTATATTGCGCGACGGGTTAACTCGCCGACGTGTTTGAGGCCACGTGGGGATGGAGGTGGCGGGTAACGAGTCGCTGACGCTCGGCGAGTGAGGAGCCGCTCACAATGAAGCCTCCGCTCGAGTCAATAGATATTTGATCCGATGTGTGTTTTGCAAGCACGGCTAATCCAGCCGCTCGGATAATCCGCCCAGAGATGAGTGAACTTTCGGCAACGGAAAACATGGAGAGGATCAGTGGACGGTTCGGCGGCAGCCACCACTCGGGCCGCCATTTGGAGTCTCCTGGGCCAAAAAAAACCCATGAAATGTCGTTTGCCAAAAAATGTCACCACCAGGGACGCATCCACACCCCCCCCCACCCCCCCCCCACAGACGCACGCGGTACGAAGGCAACATGCTCCACTGGGAAGCAGACCTTCCATCTGCAACAATGCGCTCGTCGGCCGGGTTACTCGTCCCCTTTTTCCACTGGCACATCCGAGCCGAGCCAGCGCGGCGGAGCCAGAACCAAACCGCGAAAGGACAGCCTCACGGACAAGACATGCGAATCTGACGAGGGGCCGAGCAGGGCAATGGGCGAGGTTGAAGCCGCATCCACCGCACGCGACGTCGTTCGGTACGCCGTGCCGGCGTGGTGTCACCACGTCACCTCATCTTATCTTACACAGGATTCTACAGCACCTTATTGCAAGGCGCTTACCCCCACACACACACACACACGCACGCGCGCGAGTCTCCGCTCGTTCGCCGCGTCCGACGTCGGCGGCTTGGCTCGGCTCCCGCAGTGGAACAAAAACAATACCGGGGCCTGCCGAGCCGGGCTGGTTCGGTTGAGCGGCGGACCGGAGGGATTTTTTTCCCCGTCAGGCGGCAAATTACGGGGCGCAGGCTGGCTCCAGGCCGCTTAGAGCGGGGCGTGGTTTGGCAGCGCCCATCTTCACAACGGAGCAGCTTCCGTTTTTTATTCTTAGAATACAGATGGGCTCGACACCGCCGCGTCGCGCCCTCGCCAACTTCACCACCCCGCACCTTTTGCCAGCAACAATAACGACGCCCACACCTCTTCCTCCTAAGAAGCTAGGCGTGCCAACAATACAACTAAATGTAACAAACAAAACGCTGCCACCAAACAAAAATACTCAGGTGCAACAATAACAATACTATTAGCGTTGTTCTCAAAACCCTTTTGCGAATCGCTCAAAGCAGTTTTATTCTATCGATCCGCGCGTCACCGTGATCCCAACACTCGCGCGTGTCGACTCCCCGGCCGGAGGCAGACACGCCACCATCGTCTCTCCTAGAGGGGGTGATTCAACGAGTACTGCACCATTTGGGAAGCTGATGTTTGTGTTAATGTGTGTGTGTATATACTGGACCCCGTTACGGGAAAGTGTAATTTCCACCACTGGCTCAGGCCATTCCGTGAACTTATTGTTACTTAAAATTTTCCGTGGCCGGCCGGAGTCCGATCCTGCCACTCGCTCCTCGGGGTGCATTGGTGGTGGCGGCGGCGGTGGACATCAGTGGCCTCCGTAGTTGTGCTTTTCCAGCCGCTCCGTTAGCAACCGTGTGAGCTCGACGCTTCGCGTAGGAGAGGTCTCTCACGCCAGGGCGCCGTCTCAAGTTTACCGGTGGCCCAAACTTCACGACGACGTGCCACGCCCAAAGCTCCCGTCGCCGCATGGGTAAGGCCGACTTGGCAGGAGCGAAGTGATTATTTTTGTCGCCGCAGTCATCGTCGTCGTCGTTGTCATCCTCATCAGTTTTCGACGTCGCGAGCGTGCAATTCTTGTCGGCGGGACATTAAAAAAAAGTTCCGAAGGTCCGATCATGGACTTCACCGGGCTGATAATCTCACCAAAATATTTGCTGGGTCCATGCCGGGTAGACTGCAGGCGATGGCACGCGACTAGCAGTTGTTAGGAGTAGTAGCCACGGCCCATAGCGAGAGAAAGATATACTGGATGCGGTGTTTTGGGTGGAGAAAAATATTTTCCAGTTCGTCGACCTAAAACGGACCCCCGGCTGTACAATGAACCCCGGTCGTCGTGTTTAACCAAGGAATTAAAAAAAAACTGACACCAATAATAATTATAATAACATCAACCGGGCTCTCTCTGGTCCGCCATCACGCCGCCCATCTCCTTCGGCGCGGTGCGTGCGGCCAAGCCTTGCGGTGCTTCCCGTCGCGTTGCCGTGGCTCCGGCGTGGCGTCACCGTCGCCGTGGTCTTGCTGCCGGCGTCACCAGTAGAAGGATTTGGTGAGGAAGCTGGCGGCCGAGCTGAGCCAGCTGCCGCCGGCGTCCTTCTTGGCGCCGACGCGCGACACGGCGCGCCCGTTCTGCCGCACGGGGCTCTCCTCTTCGGGGAGGTAGTCGGGCAGCTCCTCGTTCTCCTCCAGCCCCTCGGAGCACTGCTCCAGCGACAGCAGCACCTGCCGGCGGGTGAGCGGGTGGGCGGCGGGTGAGAGGGTGGACAGGTGGACATGTCAGCGGGTGGACAGGTGAGCGGGTGGACATGTCAGCGGGTGGACAGGTGAGCGAGTGGACGTGTGAGCGGGTTGACAGGTGAGCGGGTGGACAGGTGAGCGGGTGGACATGTGAGCGGGTGGACTGGTGAGCGGGTGGACAGGTGAGCGAGTGGACAGGTGAGCGAGTGGACAGGTGAGCGGGTGGACTGGTGAGCGGGTGGACAGGTGGGAAAGGTAGGCGAAAGGGTGGGCGAGGTGGCAGGGCTAGGTGGGTGGTGGTGGCATGGGCGTGGGGGGAACGTCACCGTTCACGCGCTCACCTCCTCTCCGCTCTCGTTCTTGATCACCTGCTGAGCCGACATCACCTTCGTGGCAGCAATCGCCGACGCCAGGCACTGCAAGGAAATCGACGGAAGAGGGGTTCGCCGGCTTGTGTGAGCACGCACGCCGGAGGGAGGACTCGTGATAATGAATAATAACGATAAGTTTGGTACATTTGGTATTCAGGTTATTCTTCTAGCGTGGGGCTGTCAGCGCACGGAGGAAGGCGCTGCCAAGTTTTACGCACGCACACGGCCCTGCGGGGAGTTTGACAACACAGGGGGTTGGTGGGCCACGCCGCCGCGCGCAATCCCATTTGGAGAACTTGCGGTGGAAGTTTTGAGGCGTTGACTGTGACGCGGTCACGTTCACAACGCGTTCGATACGCACGCCGCAGTACTGACCGGGGCCGCCACTCGATTCGTGAACTTGTGCGACAAAGCGGCGAATGTGCGGCCGCGGGATCAAATCTTTGCACCGCGTTTTTCGTGGTTGCGGTCACTGGGGATTTTTCTCCGGATCCTCCGGTTTTTACCTCCAAATTCCTAATCAAGGTCACGCGCTTTGAGTATTTGGCTGCTAAAATTTTCCATGAGATAAGCCACTTCATTGAGCTATCATTTGTGGCCAGGTAGCTAAGCTGGGCCTTACCTGGTAAATAAAAAAAATAGTTTAGTTTTAGGCGTTTGAACATTTAGTTTTATTGTGTTTGGTTCTGTGGGCTCGTTTTGGCAGTTTTACACGTACACCGCATTGCTTTTGATGTACCCACGACAGAGACGTTTAGTCTCAGAGGGCTCTCACCCTGGTTATAAATAAACTTGACGGAATTGAAAAGGGTGACATGACAGGACTCCATGAATATCTAACACCTTTCTTTCCCTTCAAGGGGCTGTTCTCCAGCACGGGGGAGACGCACCCAACTTCGCGAATGTTCTGAATGCAACACTTAAGCTCCAAGTTTTATTATTTTACTTTTTAAACCAGACAAGGGCCCCACCTGAGCTATTTAGCTCTTTTCAGAGGCGAGCTGGCTATCACAAATGACAGCTCAACGAAGTGGCTTGTCAAGTGGACATTTATAGCAGCCAAATACCGTCAACACCTGGTGTATAAATGTGGAGGGGAAACCCGGAGGACCCAGAGAAAAATACACGTGACCACAGGGAGGACACGCAAACTCCAAATATACAGCAGGCTTCAGGGTCGGCATCGAACCCACGACCTCCTGCATGCCAGGCGAGATAGTTAACATCTTGCCACCGTGGCGCCCCTTCTTCCGGTCACTTTATAGAAATGGTAAAAGAGTCGGGCCGGGTGGCTCGGAGATTCTGGGGGCGCTAAGCTGGCACTGCCGAGATCTTTTACACCAATTGGAAAAAAAATCAGCTGTCTGTGGCTAAACCTGATTACATCACGTTCTCAAGGCAAGCGAGTTGACTGCGCAAATTACAAGATGCATGAAACGATGACCGTTAAAAACCGAACGTTAACCTTGTTGGTTTGGTCAGGTGAGCAAGTGCTGCCCCCCCCTACTGCGAGGAGCAGCGTTCCTGTTAAGGGATCTGGGCGCTCAGGGTCTCGTGAAGCAATGTCGATGTCGGCACAATTGGAAGTACATTTTCGCGGGGGGGGGGGGGGAATCCCCAAACGTTAAAGGGAAAAAAAGAAAATCAGGAGGTGGCGGAAAGTGGAGGGTGGTCGCATAACAAGCGTGGCGAGGGTGTGAATGAGTGGATCCCTTCCCGGTGCGTCTGGATTGATATCTCTCTCTCTCTCCCAGCCTCACTCGGCTCTCTGTTTCCTCTCTCACTCACTGGCCTCCAGTGACGCCCCAGGCTGTAGCCGTAATGGCTGCGCGCAGCTTCTCATTAGAAGTGGCCCGCGGTGATTTTGCCGGGCTAAATCCTGGATGAGCCCGGCAGCGGACGGGAGAGGACAACAAAGCCAGCCCCCCTGACATCGCGACGCGCGTCTCCCGCGCTCTTGGCTCACGATCAGAAAGCCGCAAGTTCGCATCCCGGACGGGGTTCAACTCTGGCTTTTACCATCATCATCATCATCTGCTTATCATAATCGGCCATGATCTATTCACTGCAAGATGAAAGCATCCCCAAGCCTGCGCCATGCAACAATCCGTATGGCTCCATCACAAAAGACATAGATCCCTTTAAAGAGACTGTTGGGGCAAGTGCTGTTAGCGAGCACCTATGAAGGCTGGCGTAGGGGGCGTGGAGGGCCAGCATCACACCCGGCCGCCGTTGTTTCCCCATTGGTGACGTTACCAACACCGCACCATTTACTCGGGGAAGGTCCAGGACCGGTTGAAATATTCGCCACACCTTCACATGCATAGCACTGCAGAGCTTGGGGAGGAATTCAGTGCTGGCTCGCCGCACGACCGCTGCCATTCTCCGCCCGCCTGCGGTTCCTCACGCCTCCGAGTCGTTCTCTCTCTCCGAACACCGTGCGGCGTGTTACAAGTTGAAGTTATGATTCTCGTTCTTCTTGGTGTTACTCATCCCAACAGTCTGTTAAAGGCTTACACGTGGGACCTTTGCCTGTGTACGTGTGCGCGTGTGGTACGTGTGTACGTGCCTGTACGCGTGTGCCCTTACCTCCGCCTTGAGCTCCGTGCGTATGCGCACCACACAGCGCTGGCTCGCCATCTGGAACGTGAAGCTTATGACGCCTCTCACCTTGAGCAGGGCGTCCTCGCACAAGCTGCGCCGGCCCTGGCGATCCCATCACAACACGCACACGCAAGGCAAAGGTCCCCCGTGTAACCTACACGGGCTGTTGGGGCAAGTGCCGTTAGTGAGCAACACCCGGTGTCGTGGTCCAATTTTTTCCGAATTTGGAAATCACTCAATTGGGATCGTGCGCACACACAGCAGCAATCATCGCCTGCCCTACTGGCAGACTGGTGCCCGCTTGCAAGCCAGGTGCTGAGTCACCTCGTGCTGCACAGAGACAGCTGCCACTGGGGGTGCCCTTTGGAACGTTGGGAGGCCGCACTATCAAACACAAACCATTTCAATCGCTCGCCTTATAAATCCCACGTTGGACACTAACACTGCGGCCTGAAAGAAGAACTTACACGAAAGGTGACGTTTTAGGGCAGTGGTCCTTATTAAGAGCACGACCCTTCTTGATACGCAAGAAGATTGCTCTCACTGGCTGACAAGTTGCCAATTATATTTTTCTTCTGAAGGCTACGATGCTATTGACAAACTCGTCGAGTTAATTGCGTTGTTAATTGTGCTAGTGCACCAATGCCAAGGCAGCGGTGCCACCAAATAAATTGCTTCATCAATCCCCGCTTTAACCAATCCCGCCTGTTTGTTGTTGTTGTAACGTTCTTACCCGCACCTACCGGACATCTGTGAAAAAGCGCCTCATAGCTCATCGGATTCCTCTCCAGCATAAATATCCTGATGATTCTGATTCCAAGACGCTACACAGAAATTTACGGGAAACAGGGAAAGGGCCGTCGTTGAGATGGCGATGGGGCCGCGCGACTGACCCCGTCGGTCAGGCCGTCGATGTGCAGCGTCACGACCTTGGCCTTCTTGTTGGTGTTGCCCAGGAAGAACTGTCCCTTGCGGGGGCGCGACGTCACCCCGCCGCCTCCTCCCCCCGGCACCGCCGTGGTGGCGCCGGCCGGGCGTGTGAGCAGCTCGTGAATCTCGGCGGCCAGGGAGCCGGCTTCGTGCAAGCGCTCCTTCCTGCGTGGAGATGGCGCATTGTTCACGAGCGCGAGCGAGTGCGTCGCTGTGGAGCGTGGAGAGTCTAGGTGCAACCTGGAATCTTTCACTTCATCCTGCCACTGCTGGCTGAAGGACCTCCACTAGACGGAGCTCTATAGAGTGGTATATGGGAAAATGTGGCCGTACCCACACTTTGCCCCACCACACGCGGCCGACCGAGGCGTTCTCATTAACAATGCCAGGTAGCCAGAGGGGTGACTTTTTAACTGCTGCGCCAAAAGATTATCTAACGAAAATCATGAAATCAGGACAGACCTGTAATTAAACTGGCTTCAAAAGCGCAAATGTGAGTCGATGGTCTGAGCATGATTACCAATAAGCGCACAAAAAACGGCACCAAATTAAATTCGGTTCTACACTTATCTCAGAATGGCAAAATCGGTTTTACTGTCAGGCAACAAACACTACCCTCCATGATGCAGGTTTTCTTGGTTAGATCGCGTAAGCCTACGTGTTAAACACTACCCCCATACGCAGCCGAAGTGGTCAAGTGCTGCCCTCTACTGCGTGGAGACCAGAGAACTGTGATGTCTGCTTCTGTGGGCTGTTTTTTAACGCTTCTCAGCTGCAAGAGATCCTAATGAACTCTTCGCGTCGTGACGCCGATAGCGGTATGGTCGGGATAACATCGTGTGGTCAAAGAAGGATACAGACAGAATATAAATGTGTGTGTGCTGAACTTCTTTGGCACCATACGCAGCCAACCGTGTTTATCGGAGGTGCGGGGGAAGGACAACAAACTAAACAAAAAAATCAGTTCTAAAGAAATCACTTTTCAATCTAGATGTAAAAGTGCATAGCTCCAGTGGCTTCCGAATATCAGAATAGCGCTCCAGATAGCTGCAGAAGTGCCGTAATTATTTATAGAAATGGAACGTTTCAAAACAAATGACATAAGCTTGTTCGCAAAAAATCTCTAGCAATGAATTGTCGCACCCAGTGTTTAATGCATTAATCGTGAGCATAAAGATTGGGAGAATTCAATTAACGAGTTGTTCTAGAACCGAATAGGGATGATGTCACAGTGGTGAACTTATGGTTAGCACAACTGGAATTGAAATCCAGACAAGCGATACGGTGAGTCTTTGTTCGGCAGCTGGCCAAAAAGCCGCCGCTAATGCGAGGATGACCGGAGTTTGCGTGATGGTTTATGCCCCTCGACGTGAAAAGAGCGTAAGGGCGAGCGAGATCCATCCGTTCCTGTCTCACGCACTTGTCGATGATGTTCTGCAGGCTGAGCAACATGCCCAGCTCACTGCGCATCCTCTCCCGGTTGGCCGCACTCTCCGCCAAATACCTCAGCGCCTGGAACAAAGAATCAGAATGTTTATTTACACTGGAGGAATCCGATGAGATATAAAGCCCTTTTCCACAGGTGTCCAATAAGGGCGGGTAAGAACGTTACAAAGACGCAGCTGCCAGTCATCGCGCAAGGTGCGCTGCGGTGGTGAGATGTTAACTCCCTCGCCTGGTATACAGGAGGTCGTGGGTTCGATCCCAATCCTGATGCCTGCTGTATATTTGGAGTTATGCCCGTCTCTCTCCCCGTGGTCGCGTGGACTTTCCTCCGGGTCATCCGGTTTTTCCCTCCACAATTAGAAACGTGCGTTTGGAGTATTTGGCTGCTATAAATTACCACGTGATGATAAGCCACTTTGTTGAGCTATCATTTGAGATCGCCAGGCCGCTTCTCAAAAAGAGCTACGTAGCTCAGTGGGCCTTACGTCGTAAAATAAATAAACATCGTCACGAACACGACGGGAGAGAGAAACGCAAAGCGCCAAGAAAGAGCGAGGGCTCCACTCGCTGGACTGCGGAAGCAATTTCACTTTTGGGCCTCGACAGCCCCTTGGTACAAAATTGTGTATTTTAGGACTTTCGTCGTGAATAAAGTGGATAGATCCGTACATGTATAGGGCTGCAGGATGTGTGTACTGGTAGACGTGAAAGTATAAGTGTACTGTAACGCATGTGTCGGACGATGACGATGATGACGGTGGTGCCGACGATGCCGACGGTACACAGCCAGACAACGCGCATCAGTGGTGGCGCAACAGCAACGACCTTTAGCAGCGAGCCAATGAAAGTCATTCGAGACGAGGACTCAAATAGCAGCTGTGACAACTCGTTACTTTAAAACGACACGCTGCCTAAAATAACAAGAGGGGTTTGTTATGCGGAGGGGGTGGTGCAGTGGTGCAGCGGTTTGCACAAAGGGCTACAAAACCGGCAACCAGAGTTTTATTTCTGACCACAGCTTGACGTCCGTAGCAAGCGAAACCTCTGAACCGGTCCTACGCCGCATCCTTCACCAATATGCACTTACCAGAATGGTGAAGTATGTTCACACATGTAGAGGGGGAGTCCATTGTCCAGAAGTTAATTGCCAAAAGGCTGTATATATATACACGTATTTTGTTGTTGTTTTGAGACCTCTTGCCCGTTAGTTTTCACGACACCCAGCTTGGCACAAAAAAAATGGTGTAACTTCCAAACATTGGCGAGTGGTGGCACTACTGGGTTCGAGCCGGTGTCTGGTTAGCTCGTGTGGTTAGGAAAGGGGCGAGTGCACGGGACGGCAACCTAAATAACAAGAGGGGCCACGCTTTTCGAATTCGGTACAAAACTCCACGTTTCTAGAGACGCAAAGCCACGTGGCGAACACGAGACGGTGGTGGTATCCTGAATGAATTAACGCCACGAGGCCGGTCCCTAAAGAGCTGCACTCGGCTCCGGAGCCGTTGGGTGTCGACCACTGGGCTAGTGTCTTGCTGGAGATGGGAATGTTCACAATTTACCCTCCCCGACGCGATCTGCCAAGCAACGTGCCCGTATATACTCCCCATTCATACCGTTGGATGGAAAGAGACGGGGGCTCACGTGACATTTAAGAAACATAAAACTTACCCTGAATGACGGCTGATCCTAGGAGGAGGGGATGGGTGGATGTCGGACGTTATTTCGCTCGTTATCGTTGACATACCCCCCCCCTCTGCACTCCCAAACCCCCACCACTGCCCACCCCTCCGCCTTGGTGAGAAAATTACCTGAACAAGCCCCTTTTTTTTGGGAGGAAAGCTTACCTAGAGGGCGTAGCAACAACCCTTACTCCCGTACATTCACATGCCCTCTGTAATGACTGTTGATTTGGGTTCAATAACAAAAAAGGAATGTAAACTGCCAAGTGCTGTCGGAATACGAACCTAACTGGCGACCATTGGATTGCTTCCCATTAAACCACGGCAGCATCCGCGAGGAATTTAAACACCCTATCCGTGCAAATCCTCATCCCTTTGCATGTACGTTGAACTTCTTTCGCACCGTACGTACCCAACTGTGCTAATTGGAGGTGCATGGCAAGGACAAAGAACAACAAACTAGACACAACAAGCGTTTCTAAAGTAATTACTTTTCAATCTAGATTTAAAAGTGCATAGCTCCAGTGGCGTCCTAATTTCAGAATCTTTATTTATTCTGGAGGAATCCGATGAGCTACAAAGCTCTTTGTCATAGACGTCCAGTAGTCTTTTCCACAGGCGTCCAGTAGATATCGGAAAGGAAGCGTGTAGGCACCGTCGGTTGCCGGCGTTTCACCTGCAGCGCCGAAAACACAACGTCGGCGTCGTGGTGGTCGAGGAAGAGGACGAGCCCCGGCAGGCAGCCGTGGTCCCTGACGATCACCTCGCGGTTCTGCGGCTCCGACGCGAGGTCGCGCAGCTGGGTCACCACCGACAGCGCCTGCGGTCGCTCCTGCTCGGCCATTGCTCGCGGCGACGTGCAGGAGGGAGGAGGCGGCGGTGGCGGTTATGAAGATGGGGAAGGCAGTAATCGCAGCAGGAGAAGGGAGTGATGATTACAGAAGATTAAAGAGGAAGGGGAGGAGTGATGATTCCTGAGGAGGAAAATATGTGAAGGAGATGGAAGAGGACTGGCAGAAGAGGGGGAAGAGAAGATGAGGGAGGCGTGAGGGGGACACATGCGTCATGCGCTGAACATCTGGGGAGTTGCGCTGCTTGAGAAGGACTGGCCAAGGAAGTTGGGTGGGTGGGAGGTGAAGAGAAGACGAGGGTGGAGGTGACAGAGGGGCTGGATGATGACACTGATCTCACAAGGCACTCTGGAGCCGTGCTGGTGTGGAGGGACGTGGCTGGGAGGTGGCGAGAAGGTTCTGGTGAACAAGGCCTCCTCCTCGAGGTGTCCTTGGCAGGGCCTGAGGGGGAGAGACATGAAGTTGCGGGTAAACCTTAAGACAAACTACACCATTCCGCACTGACCAGAGTGCTGAAGCATGGTCAAACAACCCCTCCGAACGACACGGTGTGGGGAGACTTTCGTCCAGCAGTGAATTGACACAGCGCCGCGTATGTTTGTTGAACTTATTTGGCACCGTACGGAGCCAACCGTGCTAATCTGAGGTGCGGGTGAAGGACAACTAAACACAAAAAGCAGTTCAAGGGATTAGTTTTCAATCTAGATGATTTCAAAGTTCATAGCTCCATTGGCTTCTTAAGATCTGAAGAGCGTTCCTGACGGCCACAGAATGCGCTGTAATTATTCATAAAAACGGAACGTTTCAAAACAAATAACACACGCATAGTTCGATGCATTCGTGAGCGTAACTATTGGGATAATTCTAATAAACGCGTTGTTACAGAACCAACTAGGGACGATGCCACGGTGGTGGAATAATGGTGAGCACGAAATAATGGTGAGCACGAAATAATGGTGAGCACGAATAATGGTGAGCACGAAATAATGGTGGGCACGAAATAGTGGTGAGCACGGAATAATGGTGAGCACGAATAATGGTGTTTGGTGTTTGTTTGGTGTTTTTTGCAAGCCAGCGGCAAATGTTATTTTGTTTCTCTGCCAAGTGTGGCTGGACACCAGCGGCGTTAACGCCGTCAACAGCAACTTCACAACTTTAAACTCGCCCAAAACTAGAGCGGCAACACCACCACCACGGACGTGGCCTCTTTTAAAAAAAAACTTCTAGAACGTCCCCCAACAATCCATAACACACTGTTTTTTTTTGGTTTTGGGTTAGATCGCGTAAACATATAAAATGGGTCGTTAAACCCGCCAACACCCGACACAGCCAATTAGTAAGGTTCGTCAGGTAAACAGAACGTGCCAATTCGTTACAAGTACAGCTGTGTGTTGGTGGAACAAATCGTGTTGTGTACTTGGTTCTCCAGCACGCCGGTGTGCTGCACTCGTAACGAATCCACAAAAGGATTGTGTGTACTGAACCAGTAACGAATTGTCACGTTCTGTTTACGTGACAACCCCCAACTAATTGGCTGTGTCGGGTGGTGGCGGGTTTAACGACACATTTACGCGATCGATTATGGACATTGGTCGGGAAATTCTCAACGTAAACCGCAACAACGTCCTATCGCTCGGCTGCCCCTCGCTACTTAATCAAGCTACTAAAAGGACGCCACGATTATCTTATCGCGAGTGGGTGCACCCCCAGTCGGCTAACTTTTGACACCGCCACCCCCCTACAGAAGCGGCCATCGCAGAGCGACTCGAAGGGTCGTCTCGAGTGACCTCCACTCCACGCCGTCGGCCGTGCTCAATCCGCTGCTGGATGAAGGCCTCCCACCTCCTCCGCACGCGGGCGTGCCGCCTCTCACCGATACGAACAGTTCCATCACCCGCCCGCCAGCCTCTAGCTCACGCACAGGAGCCGAATTAATCGCTCCATCTCCTCGAGTGGAGGTCTCCCTGCGTCTGTTTGGGGTCTCGGCCGTCGATCCACTGCTGGATGAAGGCCCAGAGACGCCCCCCCCAACCCCGCCAACAACAGCGGCAGAGACGGCGATCCCCATTGGCTAATCGCCCGCCAACGCAGGCTACGCCGACCGCACCGACCAATCGCCGCGAACGCCGACTCGTCACGTGAGCGCCCCGCAGCCAATGGCGCGGCACAAAACGGACCCCCACCCAACACACACACGGGGCGCTAGGCCGCGGAATACTCGGCCAGAGGAACGGCGAATGGTGAGAGACCGCCGCCGCCGTTTCCTCGAGGTGTCACGTGGCGGCTTCCCCGGCCTCACGCACGCGACTGTCGCCCCCCCCCATTCCTCCCCATCCCTTCCCATCCCCCCCTCTCAGTCACAAGCGCGGCTAGAGGGGAACTTTACCGATGGCCGCGTCTCCCCTCGCGCGCCGCTGTGGCAGGGGGCTGGGGAGGGGGCGGGGGGGGGCGCGCTCGGGCTCGAGCCGATTGGTTGGGGAGTCGATCACGTGGCAGCGAGCTGAGCCAATCGCCGTGCTGGTCAGAGTAAAGTTGGCAGGGGAGGGCAGAGGCCCGCCAACGAATCGATTTAATCCCTGAGGCGGCCATATTTGTACGGGACAACTAACAACGACATCAACGTTTAGGCGACGGTTCAGGTTACGACCCTTGATGGCATAATAATCTGAGAAAGCCACACTGATAAGGAAAACGGGTATTTAATTGAGATACACCATATTCTTAGCTCTTTCGGTAAAGTCACGTTGAAGGGAAACAATTGGGTTTTGACTGTAGTGACGTCATCGGAACGACACGCTCGGTCACGTGACGGGTTGTAGGCGGCGGCTTCCCTTACTCAAGATGGCCGCCGTTAACTTGCGCTCCAACAATGTTTTTTTTCTAAGTATTAAACTCTTCTAGAAGTCACAGAATAATAATAGGTTCTTTTATTGAAATGGGGAAGCATTTTCAGTTTCGCGATAAAAAAATAAATAAATTGCTGAAAGTTATTAAATATTTAACAACAGCGCTTTGGATTGGTTCCCCGCCAGCAATTGACACCGCGTCCCCATTGCAGGGTTTGAAAAGAGCAGTTGGCCAATGGCAGGCGGCGTTACACGGCGGTGGCGGGGTGTTCGAGTTGCAGGGGTAGGTGAATGGGGTCGATTATTATAAATCATCATCGTTATTAATCACAGGTAAGCGTTTACATCACATTTACATTGGAGTTGAGTCTAGAATTTACCCACACGTAAATTATATCAATGCCATCCTGAGCCAAGGTCGATCCACTGCTCGATGAAGGCCGTTGTCGGCTCACGCTTGGAGGCTGTTTGACCATACTTCACCGCGCTGGTTCAGTGCGGGTTGGGGTGACACACTCACTCACTCGCACTCTCTCTCTCTACATCTCAGAATATTAATGTTTATTTACACTCGCAGGAATCCGATTTGCTATAAAGCTTCTTTTCACAGACGTCTCTTCCGAGAAGTCTTCCCAAAGTGGGAGAATAGGCCCAAAAATATAGGATTTAGCGGAGGCCCTTTGTCCAGCAGTGGAGTGAGCAAAGCAGTTGCAGGGGCTGCATCTTTACCCCCCAACCCACCGTGCGTGTGATTTGTTTTCGCTGCGCTGCGAACCCGGCGAAGCCGATCCTCGGTTTCCCGCTCACGGCCACCGACGATACCGCCGTGATAGCCAATCTCAAATCGGTTCTGGGCCTACCCTAGGTCGACTCGGCCTCAAATGAGTACCTGGTGCTGTGTGTAGTAAAGCATCGACACTGGGGAGACAAAGGCGGCTGGGCGTGGTTGCTGCTCCCCCCCCCCCTCACCAACCCCCCTCGTGCGCAGTTCCGACCTTCCATATGTTGTGCTAACTCCCCAACGGCACTTGCCCCCCCAGAAGGAGGCTGTGGTCGAAGGCTTCTTCACGTGGTGGGGGGCCTTTGTCTTGTGAGTCGGTGTCGTCGAGGCGGCCACTCGGGGGTACAGGAGGAGGAGGGGAAGGGGAAGAAGGCGGAGAGCGATGAGACGACATGGTGCTGCGTGCCATCGAGATTCTTCTCGACTACTTCGCTGAAGACGCCGACGAGGTGAGAAGAATCTTCACCGGCGCCGAGATTGAGGAGGTTTAACCCTGGTGGAGCGGGACAGGGGGCTCCCTTTGCGTTTGTATATCCCGGGAACAAATCCGATGAACTGCGAAGCGCTTTGTTGCACAGATGTGTCCAGTAGGGGCGAGTGAGAAAGTAAAAAAAACGAGTACAAAGTATTGGTTAAGGTAAAAAAAAATCACTAACAATAAATCCGTAAAGTATTTAGGTTTACAAGTTAAAGTTGCATAAGTGCACCAATTCCCGAGCTTGGGCAAGGCATCAAATCAACAAGAGCACTTTCCAACACACATACTGCGGACTTTGGAACGCTGCCTCACAAGCTATTAGAGATTCCGCTTCATTTGCGATTTTGTTTTAAAGTCTCGATATAAAACATTCCTACTAGATAAGGCGCCTCGTGTTGTTTTCAGGCTCTTTGTTGATAGGTTTTCGTGCTTATTTTTTATGCATATTATGTACAGCGTTCTGTGGTCCATTGATGAAGAGCATTAACGTATATCAGTCCAGTCTTTTATGATTTATCGCGTCAAGTAACTAAACGCGTTCATCAACAGTAACACTGTGTGTGTACGCGTGTTGAACTTCTTTCGCGCCGTACGTAAGCCAACCGCGCTAATCACAGGCGCGGGTCTTTAAAAGGAAATATTTAATAGGCAACGTTTGAGGCAATGGATTTCGAGCGAGGTGTGCTTCATGCACACAACACCGTGTTGCGGGCACACATCATCATCACACACCCGCTCGCTAGTCTCTGCACTGGCTACCAGTCAAGTATTGAGTGCACTACAAGATCCTGCTGCTGCTTGCTGCTGACCTGCAGGGCTCCGAGTGGGTTAGCCCCGCAGTATTCGCAGGAACTGGCTCGTGTTGTGACTCCATACGAGGTTGCTGAGATCTTCGGATCGCTCTTCATCTAAGGACTCCGAGGTCAGGGCCTTGTTGCTGTGGTGATCAAGCTTTTGCCAGCGCAGCTCCCAGACTGTGGAAGAACGCTTTCTGGTACTTTGGGAGCACAGCCCCCAGAGTCGTGAGAGCTCTTTGAGTCCATCCAGAAAACTCGCCGCTTTAAATTGGCCTTCACCCCCTAGTTGTGGCCGTTTACCCTGCAGGTGCTGTTTGTTTCCAGCATTCCATTCACAGGGATGCATTTGGATCTACGGATGAAATCCCCCTTTACAGGTATAAATGATTATTATTAATGGGCTCTCGCTTGGGTTCGAGTAAAGGATGGACACCCTCTAGCTTTATAAGTCTTGTGCTTCGCATATCCCTTGAATCGACGCTCCCGATAGAGGCGGTACGAAAGCTGATTTTTGTTTTTTTACGGGAACGCGACTCTTCCCCTCTCATTGCCAGCAGTGCAGCGTGGGTTTCGTCACCAGCGGGGGAAGCTCGCGGAGTCTCATCCGAAGAATCGGCTCCAAGATCCAGGATGCTCCGTTCCTTTCCTTTGTGAGAACCGCACGGAGCAAGGTCACAACGCACGCCGCTCACTCGGCAAGCGTCGGACACGAGAAGGTGTTCTCGAAATGACGGGCGTGGATATTCCGCGTCTTGCACATAGCAAGTTTTAAAACATATACAGGCACTGCTTGATGCACGCGATGTCAAGCACAAGAAATAATGGGAAAGGAGTGGGTTAGGGGATTTAACTCACACTCGCAGACATAATCGCCTATATTATCCTCGCCTCTATCAATACAATACATGTACACACAATATAATACTTTAAATTGGAAATTAAATCGTGTAAACTCGTATATACTAACTCGAATAAATGTAAATAAAGAAACACACTATTTCTTGTAACTGCACCAGAGTTGCGTTGTGGAAACCATGGATGGAGACGCGTAAAAACCTGACGGCGTACGATCATAACCAGAGACAAAGGGAAGAGCTTTCTAGATTTAAAGCTTTCGTGACTGCTAGGATCCATACTCTTTGGTTCTATTGGGTAAAGTCACGTAGGTGAAAATAAAATAACAAAAAATCACGACGTTTCGGCCACAACACAAGCGGCCTTCATCAGGTGAAGGGACGAGACTATCTGGAGGACAGCGCTGTCCTCCAGATAGTCTCGTCCCTTCACCTGATGAAGGCCGTTGTGCACGTGGCGAGATGCTGCACGGTATAGCGCACCAAGTCACCGTACCACACTGGCTGCTGGCAACGCCATTGGGTCGCGGTGCCAGGATAGGAGGTGGCGTACGTCGCGTGGCGGGTGACGTTATTATTAAAAAAAATTGCATCGCGTACGTCAATAAAAGGTCTAAATACAAAGCGCGCCGCGTTATTCCAAAACGGAATACCACAAAAGCACGTAAACCGAGGAATGCCTGTGTGTGTGTATAAAATGGGGTTAATGCCACCCCTGAATCAACCTGGTATTTCAGGAACAACCTTTTTTGTGTTGGTAGTCGCTCAACCAAACACTATCCAGGCTCAACCTGCTTAGCTTGACTTGTGAGACCTGACACATTGCATGTAGAGGCGCACGTAGAGGCACAGAAACCCAGGCTCGTTAGAACGTTGCTTGGTACCCGACTGCGATGTGCGCGTGTGAAACGTGGGCGATCGACGCAGCTGACAGGAGGAAGATATCTACGTTTGAACTGCGGCGCTGCAGAAGACATAATCGCGTGCGTGTGTGTGGGGAGCGGTAGTGCAGCGGTGAGCGTGCTGCGCTACGAACCTGACGACCCGGGTTCAATGCCCGCTCATGGCCAACACCGGTGACGATTATCTGAACCGGTTCTGGGCCTCCCCTAGCTCGACTCAGCCTCCATCGAGTACCTGGTGCGGTGTGTAAAAGCATTGCCACGATGGAGACAAAGGCGGCCAGGGCATGCTGCTGGCCACCCGGCCTTCATAGGTGCTCACTAACAGCACTTGATCCAATAGTCTGTTGAGGCTATACGGGGGATGTTTGTCTAAGTGTGTGTGTGTGGGTCACTGGCAGGTATTCAGCGTTTTGCAGGGGAGGCCGTATGGGAGGAGACGGAGCGTGGTGCGCTGGATCGCATCGCACTTGCCCATCCCACGCTGGCTCTCCCCGCACCTGCAGGCGAGTTCTTTTGCCCGGCGGGGTTGAAGCAGTTTCCAACGTGTTGTTGCTGTTTTTATTATTTAATTATTCTGCTAGTTTACCCAGGAGAGTTGCGACTTTGTCGGAAGAAGTACTGCCAAGTTGTCACAAGAGGAGGGGGGGTTATGATTGCTCGGTAAATTCTCACTTGCAGGTAATATTAAAATTTGGATCATGACACAATGACCTACTATCGCGATCTTTACCTCTGCTGCGAAACAGACCGTGCGCGGCATTTTTCGGTTAATACCACACCGCGGTAATAACCAGGGCGGCCGCTGGATTCGAACCGTAAAACTTGAGCAACAAGCGACGAACTCGCTGCTGGTAATCCACATTCTCTGCCCCAAACTGACGCTGAAAGCATTCGTTCTGCCCTTCCGTGTGTAACGAGAGGGAGAGCGGCACGCCGACTCTTCGTGAAGTTGCTGCAGTATGAACAGAACTGTTGCGAACGTTGTGTTGCCATTACGAGCCTGCCCCGTGGAAAACCGGCCACATTGATCACAGCGATTTTGGATAGACACAAAACGATAAAAAAGACAAATATCCCCCATGCAGCCTTAACAGACTGTAGGAGCAAGTGCTTTTCGCGAGCACCACGAGGGGGTGGGTGGTCAACACCACGCCCGGCCGCTTTTGTCTCCGCAGTGGTGATGTTCACACACCACACCAGGTACTCGTTTGAGGCGGAGTCGACTTAGGGGAGGCCTAGGGTCATATCACAGGTTTGGCTGTGAGCGAGAATCGAACTCGGGTCACCACTTTCGTAGCGCAGCGCCCTAACCGCTAGACTACCGCTGGATAGACGCACGCGCACACACACATAATCTCTTAAACACAACACGCTCGCACACAAAGACAAATTTCCCCCAAGTTCGCCTCCCCAGACTGTTGGGGCAAGTGCTGTTGTCGAGCAACGATGGAGGCCGGAACTTCGCCGAGTAAACCTAGAGAAGGGAGGCCTGAGAGCAATTTATATCATCACCGCTGATGGTAGCCGTGGTCGGGAATCGAACCCGGGGAACTCAAAGGTCCGTATCGCAGTGCGTTAACAACTGCACCGCCGCTCCCCACCCTCGCACCGCCCCGCTTCTGCCTTGTAGTTGCTGGCAGGAGAACATCCCGGAGCTCCGTCCCGTGAAGAGAGCCCAAGTGTGCCGAGCTTCGCCGAAGTGATATACTTCCCCATCGTGGAGGGGGTGGCCAACCGCTGCTGCAGGTGCTGACGCTGCACAGCAGTTGCATCCGGGAAGCACGTTATCCCTGATACGCTTTGTTTTTGTTGTCTCTATGAGTGTGTGTGTGTGTGGAGCGGTGGTTTATATATTAATCAGCCGTTGCTTGAAATCGTCTCCTGCCCTGCATTTGATTCCCTGCTGTGTGGCGGAGGAAACGCACTTACAGTACTGCTGCAAGCGGAAGTGTTGTGTTATGACCTTGTACTGAGTAGGCACCGGCCTCTGGGTGCCAGGCCCCTGTGCCCACAGCCGCAAGGATAATTCATCATCGTCATCAATCATCGGCAGGTCCGGTTGATTGATGATCCAGCACTCGCTGATTCACACAAGTCGGTTGCCTCCTTGTCACTCTTGTAGCGCAGCTACCATGATTAATGTTCCAAGGAGCTTTATTCAATTGATTCCTCCATCTGTGTTGGGAGGATCGTTTAGTTTCATCCACACTTGTGTGCAACCACGGCACCGCAGGTCACAACAATGCATGCACTCACCCACCCTGCTCAGCCACTCACTCACCCCGCGCAGCCACTCACCCACCCACCCACTCAGCCGCTCACTCACCCCGCTCAGCCACTTGCCCAACCACCCACTCAGCCGCTCGCCCACCCCGCTCAGCCGCTCACCCACCCCGCTCAGCCGCTCGCCCACCCCGCTCAGCCGCTCACCCACCCCGCTCAGCCGCTCGCCCATCTGCTGATTCGCCACACGGCAGGTCACCTCACGTCTCTTTCTTCTTGCCTCGCACCGCTCCACTTTGGAATTCCCTCCAATCGTCCTTTTCCCCCCCACGCTCCTTATATTACAACCTTTCTCACTCTCAAGACACGTGTGAACTCGTACATTACACCAGCAGGAGTCCTGTTCATCAACCGGCTGCTTGGCTGAATAGGGCTTTGGGCCCGTGTGCTCGTCGATCTGTCGCCATCTCTCGCCGTCCTGCGATGTAACGCTCCGTCCGGCTCCCACACGCCAAGCTGCTTCCGCTGCTACTAACCGCCCCCGTTTCATCGTCAGCCGGGCGGAACTCCGCCTCAACGCCGGCACTTCGTCGCCGCGCTCCGACACGTGCGGCATGCGGGAGCTGCCGGGAAGCGCGAGTCTCTGGGAGCGGAGGGACGGGACCGGCGATGGTGATGGAGGAGGAGCAGCAGCAGGAGCAGCAGCAGCAGGAGGAGCAGCAGCAGGAGGAGCAGCAGGAGGAGCAGCAGGAGGAGCAGACGCCCTTGTGAAGATCGCGACGCTGGAAGCCGAGTTGGCGCGTTTGCGAGCACAAATCGCCGCCATCGTCACGGCCCAACCCGGAGCTGGGGGGACAGATGCCACACGTAACCACCGCCTCGCCTGCCTCGCCCGCCTCATCCTCCTCGCCCTCCCCACCCACCTCGCCCTCCCCACCCTCCTCGCCCTCCTCGCCCTCCCCGCCCTCCCCACCCACCTCGTCCTCCCCGCCCTCCTCGCCCTCCTCGCCCTCCCCGCCCTCCCCACCCTCTTCGCCTTCCCCACCCTCCTCGCTCTCCTCGTCCGCCTCGCCCTCCTCGCTGTTATGACGATAACAATGATGATGATGATTACGCCGATGTTGATGCTAAAAGCAATGATGATAATAACAATGAACGATGTCATCCGTGTCCACTCCAACCCCGCCACCCCCACCCTGCTCCTCCACTCCAACAGAGGTTGCACCGGGCCCCACCGCCCCTCCTCCTCCACCCCCGCCTCTGCCCCCACCCCCGTCGGCCTGCTCCATCCTCGAGGGTGGGGCCGGCGCCCTGCGGCTGATTCGCCGGCGCCGTGAGCAGCGTGTGCACGCAGCAGGAGGTCGAGGGGGGGGAGCCGATGGCACCGGCAGCGAGAGCCAGGCAGGAGCCGCGGTGGGCAAGAAGGCCGTGCCCGACATGATGGACGTGCTGAGGAACCTGGGAAAGGTGAAGCTGCGCGTGGTGGAGAGGTGAGGGACTTCTTCGTTTTGGGTTATCCGGGACGGACACGCCGAATCTATAGGACTCTACAGATTCAGGAGGGTCCTGCCGCTGCCACATTGGGTATTTATTTGTAAGACTGTTTCAGCCAATTAATGATGAGTTGTGTTTATTATTATTATAATACGTTATAGAAAACCCACGCCTTGCACAAGGGGGCAACACTATCCCCGTACAGATGTAGACAGATGGCGATTGAGCCCACACTTGCTTGGACTGCCTTCTGGCGAGCCAGGGTATGCCTCCTTTACGCCCCCACGGGAAGGGAGTTTCACAGCAACATCTCTGCGGTGATCCACCAACCCTCGCTGATGCCTCTGCACGTCGCCAGATTCCTACAGGCAGCCACGTGCCGCAGCGTAGCCACCAGCGCCCCGGCATGGCGCTGCTGTTTATGTAGCTGATGATGGTGACATCAGTGCCGACTCCCGTTGCTATCACTGCCGACGACGATGATGATAACGATAATGATGACGTTGATTCTACCTCTTACTGACGACGCTGCTGCCGATGATTATAACTTGTGATTGCTGCCGTTTATTTGTGGTGGTGGTGGTGGTGGTCGTGGTCAGGTCCCCGGGTGGGCGTCCCGTCCACTGGCCGTTGCGAGCCTGCATCACCCCGCCGTCCGACCCGGCCGCCCTCATTGCGCAGGCCCTGCGCAGGAAGTTCGCTCGCTGCCGCGCGCCGCGCAGCCCCGAGCCCGGCCTCTCCCCCGGCTCGCCGCACGCGTTCAGCCCCGACGTGCCCAAGGTACGCGGGGGCTGCGGCGCTGGGGCTGATTTTTTCGCTGCGGAAAGCAGAGCTGGGCCCGCGGATGTCGCGAGAGGTGAACGAGCGGAGGCTCGCGTGGGTGACGCAGTGTACTCGCCACGTACAGACTGACCTCACGAGCGGTGGGTGCATCGTCCATTGCAATCATGGCGACGATGCTGATGATGATCGCGATGATTAAGATGGTATCACGACAATGATGTTGCTATTACAATCATGATAATCTTGGTATGACCATCGCACCTCCGATGAGCACGGTTGGCTACGTACGATGCGATAGAAGTTCAACATACGTAACAACGCTGATAATGTTGGTACGAGGATCACGATGGTGCTGCTGATGATGATGATGACGTTATTGTCGAGAGCTTCCACGCTGACTTGCGTTACGTTCTCCTCTCCCCCGTTAGTTTGGCCGTCACCTCCTCAGGGTGACGGGCAGGAGCCTGGACGAGCCCTTCTACGAAGGCATCTCCTCATCGTCCACCTCCTCATCCTCCACCTCCTCATCCTCCTCCTCGTCTCTGGGGTCACCTCTGTTCGTCCACTCTTGACCCCCGCCCATGCGGGCGCTCCAACATCACCCGGCCGCCACCGCGTCATCGCAAGAGCGCCGTCGCCGACGGAACGGACACGCCGCATTGCAGACTCTTCTGGTGGGCGATCAAAACTGTTCCGTGTGTTGGGCCGGAAATTAGCGCACTTGGGGGGGGGCTGGAGGGGGGGGGGTTAAGGACATTTCCGCCCTCAACCCCCCGCAGGGGTGCGGACGATGGCGCCTCTACGCGCGACCATGCGGTCCCATCGTCCCCGGATTGAATTTTAGACTTTTCTCCCCAAATCTAATGCCTCGTCTCTGTGTTTTTTTTTTGTTTGTGGCGAATGTAGCGGCCTCTGGTGGCCGCAGTGTGTATGTGTGTGTGCGTGTGGCAAACCGATTATGAGCGACGACGCGCTTCTCCGGATCGAGACGCCGCTCGTGACGTGGTGCCCGCATCGTCACCGTGAGAGACGATTTCGACCGCTGCTCTCAGAGACGCGCGCGCTGTACTGTATACATGCGTTACCCGGTGAACGCGCGGTGGGGCCCGGATGTTCGTACGGGGAAAGGTTCACTTGACCGCACGCGAGACCACTTTAGACTCGTGGGTGGTTTTGTTTTAGCATTTTATTTTTTTAAACGGGTTTGGGATGCTGCCTGCGTGGCGGATTGGGGACAACTTCACGGTTCGGTTCCACCTCTGTTCTCGCGGCGGTAGGGATTGGGTACGGCACAGTGATGTCGATGAGCAGGTTCGCGCGTGGTGGGGTAAATTGTGGGTACTCCCACCTCTTCTAACGTCTCTGGCCAGTGTGGAAGAGAAGGCCAAGAGATACCGTCTAGGAGGTGGGGGGGGAGGTGGGGGGGGGAGTGTCGGCACCCTTCACTGGAGACCCGCAATTGCGGTGCTACGCTTTTTTTTTTATTTTTAAAATTTGTGGCACGGTTTCACATTCTCCACGTCGGCCTTGTCGCCAATCGTAGCTCGGGGCCTCCGTCGACCGCTCTGCCCGGCACGCACAAAGGCGAGCGGTGGGCGTCAGTTTCCCGGGTGACTCTAGCGGGCCGAGTTACTGCTCCACAGCGGAGGCGCTTGCGGGTCGTGCTGCTGCTTCGGAGCCCTACCCGCGCGAGTTTGCGGGTCGTCGCCGCCCTTTCGCCGCCGACGTCCGACGGTTCGCTCCTCGTGTCGCCGGGAGCTTCTTCAGGAACCGAACACTGAACGGGAACTCAATTCGGTCGCCGAAAGAGCTCCCGGCGGGCACGCGGAACGAAACGGCGGACGCCGGCACCTCGCAAAAACGACGACAGCGCGCAGCAAGCGACACGACCCACAAACACCCACGGGAAAGTGACTCGGAGGCAACTCGCGATTATCCTGGGCAACGGGAGGCAGCGGTGGCCCAAGTTAAAACAAAAACCCGGATAAATCCGGAAACGCTCATGTGGATTCGGCTCCCATCGGCTCCAGCTGTTGTTCACCCACGTGGAGCGGGGGTGGCGACGTGGAACGCTCCGCGTGTCTCCGTTGTTTCTGAGGGTGATCGGTTTCACCTGCCGACGACTGACCCTTCGACGAGTGAGGAGCAGCAGGCTCACGATTATAACAAAGTGCTCCACCAGTGAGCAGCGTGCCAGATGTTCGACTCCCCCCCCCCCCCCCCCCCCCGCGAGCACGGTTTTTAATCCTCCACGCGGACGGTCTGCGCCGTGGGTAACCGAGCGGCAGAGGAGTGGGGGTGGTCAAGAGTCTTGTCTATGCACGTAGGAGTAAAGCGACAGTTTAGTCCGTCTGCCCTGGCAGGCTCGCGGGCAATAATATGGGCCACGCCAGCGTGGGCCGATGTGGCGGCGTTGTACGCTGGAACCTCGCGGGTGCAGGACTGCCGCGGAGGTGTTAGCCGTTGTTGGGCTGTGCCCCTCTCTCCTCGCTGTGGTTTCGGGTTGCGCCGATCACTACGCGTTGTTGTCCGGCGTTTTGCTCCACGTGCCGAGAGTCTTCTTCAGGAACCGAGTCGAAGAAGCTCCCGGCACGTGGTTCCGGACGTCCGTGCCGAACAGCAACAACAACACATAGTAGTGGTGGTGGTGGTGGTGGTAGCGGCAACGCAACACGAAACGTTTGTCGTTTTTAACTTTTCCGTAGGAGGCACGAACTTCCTTCTGCTGCCACTCGGCCGGTCTGTTCTGGTGGACGATCAGAACCGTTCCGTGTGTTGGGCCGGAAAGTAGCGCACATGGGGGGTCAGTACCTTTCCGCCAGCGATTCACTTTGAACCTCGCGTGTCTCTCCAACAAGGGATGCTGAGACTACAAACGATGAAGGGGAGGGGGGGGGGGGGTGTTTCCTAGACAATTTAAAAGACTCGAAAACCCACGACGGCTCATTTTCGAGAAAGGGGCAGGCCTTAGCTGAGAGCAGGCGGGTTACGTGGATGAACTCGACCAGCTATTAAGCTTGTCACCCGGGCGCCCGTCGCGGAGACGCGATGGTAACTGCTGTCTGAAGGAGGTTCGGAAATTGTTGCAACGAAGCGAGCACGTTTTGGCTTGCATGTACGCGTGGATTAAATGAGTTGTTTTCAATGTTTCTGTTCAAATGGCGGCCCGCCTCGCTCTGTGGGAGGTGGTTCTCAAACTCGTTTCTACCAATGTCCCGGCTACAAATACCGCAACGCACAGGTCGCGCATCAACGCGGTGTTTGGCATCCGCATCATTTTTCGTGTTGTATCTTGGCGCTGCTGTTCCCTGCGGATATTCAACATTTCTCCTGCACGCTCTCCACGCCACAGCCTGCTCCCCCACCCCCCCCCCCATGATTTCTTCCCCTTTGGGGTTTGTCATGCGGCCCATTTTATCTGCACGTATCAGTTGGGTTTTTAACTTTGATCATAGCTACTGATTTTTAAGTAATTTTATTAAACAAAACCCCAAACAACTTGAGAATGTCGTGTGCATCTTATACGAGTGCTCTGTCACGTGGGGCTTGTATTGAATTGCTCAGCGCGTCACGTAGGACGTGTATGACAATCATCGGGCGCGTGCGGCGTGCAACGATCTAATTTGCAAAAGCCAGTCAATTGGTGAACGCGGAAGGACGGCGCGTGGTCGGCGGTGTCGCGAGGCCTGGGATGTTGGGATACCCAGCGCTGTTCTATTCACTATCAGCACCATCATCGGCCTGGTCTCAATAACGCTACCAAAGTTACCCGCCCATCCACGTGCCGGCCCGACCAATCGCCCCCATCCATGATCTCCAAAATTATCTAATGAACGTCACCACGTGGCTGTGGGGGAGGGGGTGCGTCTAGGGCCCCACGCAGCTCAGAGAAGTACAGCAGAGCCTCTCCACAGCGGCATTCCTCCGTCTCCACCTCGTCCTCTACTCCCGAGAGCCTCGCCGTGAGTCCGCGCCTCCCCTGCCCTCATCCCCCCCACCCCCTCTCCTCCACCTCGTTCCCCGAGTCCCGGGGGATGACGAGGGGGCTCGTGGGGTGCACGTGGCCGCTCGTGCCGAGACGAGGCAAGGAGAGTTCGGCTGCGTGCCACTCGTCAGCTCGCGTGTTCGGGGGTCGCTGGGGTTTGCGGGGGGAGGGGGTGGTTGGTGATGGGGAAGCATTCCCAGGGGGTCTCCTCATTTGGATAACTCCTCGGGGCTGGGAGTGGGCGCGCTAGGAGATGGAGCAGTGAAGAGCGCCCCACGTGGTACCGTGGCTCACAACGGCGTCGAGGACTCCTTGAACCATTCCCCCTCGCCCCTTTACCTCTCCCCAGTACCTCTCCGTGTAGTACTTCACCATTCACGCCTCGCCCTGACCCGAGACACGCGCCCTGCAGCCACTACCGCTGCGCGCGGCGGTGGGGACACGACTCGAACCTGGCCGCTGGAAGTCGGCGACCCTTCAGCGATGATCACGGACGTGCACAGATGGATTTAACAAAGCACGACACTCACGTGGTTATCGCGTGCTCCGTGTTCTCCTGCTTGGCGTTCAAAGATGTCTGTAGGCGTGAGTCGAGGGGTCCACAGCCAGCCAGGACACAATAACAATCCTTGATGATACTCCACCTTGGAAGGGGGGGGGGCGGTGGGAGCTTCATCCAGCAGTGGATAGATCGGGTATTGTCTTCTGCTTCGCCACCAGCTGCACACCACGACGCGAACATTCTTAACGGGCGCTTTGCAAACGGTGAACGCACACCTACCACTACCACAAGCAACATCAACACCACCACTACCACCATCATCACCACCACTACCACCACCACGACCACCACTACCACCACCAACACCACCACTATCACCAACACTACCACCAACACTACCACCAACACTACCACCATCATCACCACTACCACCACCACCAACACTACTACCACCGTGTATTGGTGTAGTTGCTGGATACCCACGGCTCTGGCAAGTGAGCTCGAGTCGACGAAAGAGGTTCACTCACGTTTATTGACTTTGCTCTAAAAACGCTACAAATTGGGAGTACACAAAAAACAAATCTCAAAGATTGTTTTGTAATTAAATGCTACAAAAAAAGAAACAAATGTCGTGATTTTACACATCATCATCGTCAAACGCTCACGTGTACAGAGAAAATAACACAAGTTCCGAGATGGGGGGGGGGGGGGATGAGTGGGGGGGGGGGAGAGGCATTCTTGGTACGTTTTTAACCAAATGAAAACTCCGACGCATCTAAATGCCTGCATGGGTCCGTCACACGAATTCAGAACGCAAGAACATCGAAGCTTTAGAACTCCAACCCAGTAACCCCCCCCCGCTCCCACCAATAACCAGGGTTGCCACGATAATACGATACGTGCCGGGTACCGGTTCCTCGTCACGTTGTCATGGAACGCGACGGCGAATCGGCGAGTTGTGCTTTCCAGTTGGAAGATAAATTGGTGCTGTCAAAGAGTTCACCAGCGCTGCTCCGCTTCACTCCACACAACTCTGCCGTGCACGATAAGACCCCCCCCCCGCCCCCTCTCTCCCCGCCCCCTCTCTCCCCGCCACCCACCAATCACCGAGACTCTACATTGTCTACAATCTGTGACGCGTCTGGCTACGTCAGTCGCACGCGGAACGAGACGACGCAGCGAGCGAGCGAGCGCGGCTGCAGTGGTGGCAAAATCGTCGACGTTTTGCTTCATGCGGGCTGCGGAACGAATAATAATGTGTTCACGAAACCACGCGCGATTATCGTGGGCCGTGTATCGCACGAAGCCACGTGCGATTATCGTGGGCCGTGTATCGCACGAAGCCACGTGCGATTATCATGGGCCGTGTATCGCACGAAGCCACGTGCGATTATCGTGGGCCGTGTACCGTACAATCATGTATCGCGGCAACCCTAATACAACAACACCCTATAGCGGCCTGTTAACAACTGTAGTTGCTAAGGAACAGTGTTTAAATTGAGTTATTTTTTTCAAGTCGCCTCTTTAGTGCCCGTGTAAGAAAGCACCATTTTCTCCAAAACTGTTTTAAATATAAATGAAGGTTCATACAACATTTACTGCAAAAAGTGTCGTGTGATATAATAGCACCGCCGTGGACTCATGTGCTGCTGCCAAAATGTTCATGCACAGACGGATGCACTGATTGTGCAATGTACGCATTGTGTGGTGCGGGCAGAGCCGTCACCGGTGTCCGGCGAATCTGGGGCGACTGCCCCGGGCCCCACGCTTTGGGGGGGGCGCGCTTTGACGTCACGGTGTCGGCTGTAATACTTCCGGTTTAGTTTGTAATCGTCGGGGGTAACTAAGCGGGGGGGGTGCCCCAAGCACCCCCCCCCATGGGCGACCCTGCGTGTCATGTGACTGGGGAATGGTGGCGCCGTCGTTGGCGCACTGCGCTACGCAATCTGCTCAGACTCGGGGTCACGCTTGCAAATGAGACTTCTCTGTCCTGGTCTCTCGCCTTGTTAAACAAAATCAGCTCGGACTTACATCCCGAGCCTGATTCCCGGCCACGCCTGGCATCAGTGGTGACAGATCTCTAAACTGGTCCTGGGCCCTCCCCTAGGTCGACTCAGCCGTAAATGAGTACCTGGTGCGGTGTGTAAACATCAGCAACACGAAAGACAAAAGCGGCCGGTCGTGGTCCTGACCACTACTACACCAACCCTCTAGAGTTCCGTGGCTGTGGCGGTTCGAGTTGTCAGATTGATCGCCGGGTTCATAGCGCAGCGTGCTCACCACTGCACCACCGCTCCACGGCCTATAACACAACGCCCCCGTTTAACCTGCGAAGAAACAACGTTTTGTCAGCTGATGATAAATTTTTGACCAACTGCGTTTTGCCAGCTACAACCCTGCCGATGTGCTTCAGGGGCGACAAACCCCAGTCTTGGTTGTGTCTGCTTGAATAGAAAAGAGATACAGTATTTCCAAAGCCAGATAGGCCGATGAGCCTCCAACGATAACCTCTCTGTAGGTAGATTACATTTAGCTACACAGGTGTGAAGCAAAAAAACAACGCTGAGTGTGTGAGCACGAATCTTGTGATGCGCACGATTTCCATATCGATCTCGACAGCTATCGCAGGCTCGAGCCTGGACGGCGCATTGGACGAGCGACCACTGCCAGTGTGACCACTTTCACCTGTCCGCACTGACTAGCGTGGTGAAGTATGGTCACAAAATATCCCTCCCCGAAACGCGTGGCTCAGGCCGCGTGTGACGAACGGTGCCCCGAGGGAGTGGGGCAGGTGTACTCATCCAGCAGTGGATTATTTACGTAGGGCTGTGCGTGTGTGGGTGTTCTGCGTGTGGATGTGCGTACATGCGCGCTTGTCACGTGGCAGGCTAGAGGCGTGTACAGTATTAGTCATGGTGGCACACGTGGTCTAAGTGTCGGTCTTGACTCACTTCCCGCAACCCTCAATATAATTCACAAACATTATTTTCACCATAAACAAAACTAAAGAAAAGGATATTATACTAATAGACAAGAAACACACCTCCAATATGGCTGGGTCCAACGCTTGGAATATTGGTAAAAGCGAGGGGTTAATTTCTCATGGAACATTTTCCCGGGGGGGAAAATCAGCCCCGGGGCAACTCCGGGTGAAATTAAGCCCTGCGTAAAAGCAACACTTTTACACATCCTAACAACCAGGTTTTGATTATTCTTTTTTACCCACAGAAACACACGGTCTCATCTAAGGGCCACTCCTCTGTATGTTGGCGGATTTAACTCTCCACCTGGCGTAATTGATTATAAAACGAAGAAAGAGGCGGACATTTCCGCTGTCGAAAAGGGACAAATCCGCCAATGTGTGACACGCGTGGCCGTGCCTACTCGAAGCGACCCTTTACACGCGGTGCGCAAGCCACATCAACTTGAACCAACAAGACAGAGCACACGGACGACACCACCACCATCACCACGATAGAGGTGTCACGACGAACCACGCGCTCACTCTCTCGCGGGAAAGGTTAGAACGCGGTTCACTTGCACCAACAAGCGCGACCCACGTGGCTTGCTACACGTGCCGAGTTCCACGCTGGGGGGAGGGGAGGCGGGCGCGAGACGTCACAGAGCACCAGAGAAATGCCATCCCCCCCCCAAAAGGAAAATAACCTATCGCACCACGAGCCCTCACCAACCAAGCATGGAACCATTGGGCCAACAACGCTTGCGGCAACGTTGGAGCCAAAGGTAACGACGACATGGCCAGCAACGTTGCATGTTGACTTGGTAGCCCTAACATACAAGACAACCAGCCACTAGTGTACTATCGTGCTGCCCGGTTTATAAGACCCCCCCCCCCCCAAATTCCCACACCCGTGCCCGTGTGAGACCAGATCCATAGAACTGACACCGGGCACAATTGTAGGAAAGCGTCTTGCTATCCGGAGCCCGACTAACCCGTCCCCAACTCAACTCTACCTCACCCCTTCCCCACATGCACCCAGTCCCCTCCGACC